CCTTGCTTGCAATTGTGTTGATTGTGGTGGAGAGCATAATGCAACTCAGATGTCACTGAAACTGCTGTTGATAATGCCTCAGGCTTTTCTGATGCACAAGAGCTAGTGGGATAGATGCTTTAGTTCTGCTCTGCAATGTAATGGTGCTGCATTTCTGTTGCCCAGACTGCATAAGCTCAAAGAGCATACAGAAAGTTTGGTGCAACTCTTACTCCAGTCTTCCAACTCATATTTTTGCTAATTGTGTTATTTTAGAAACTTTTGTTTCCTCAAAGCATCAGGATGTTTTTACTTGACAAAATTTATATTTTTGTTACCTACTTGTCCTGTCCAGGAAACTGGTACAGAATCTTTATGGTGTCACATAATAAGTTTCTTTGTCTAGTCTCATTTCTACCTTCCAACTAGAAACTTCTCCTCCTTGAGAAGTGGGAGAAGACATGTGTAAGAACTGCTGATGAAAAAGAAATGCTTGTTGATAGAAAGTATACTATTTATGACTCTTGTTCTTTTCTTTATCAGTGATTCTGATAGTGGTGTCAGTCTGTACAGCAAGTGGTGCCTGGAACTGGTTAATAGACCCAGAGACATAAAAGGTAAAGATCAGGCTAATCCCAAATGTAGTGTGTGGCAGTCAAGTGGTATAGCATTGAAAACTGAAAGGCCAAATATGGTTCTCCTCTGAAACTGGGAGATAATTTTCAGTTAGGCTCTCGAGCTGTCTAGAATTTTTCTGGAATATGTCCTGGGACAATAATGCCTACCAATATGTGTACCTTGAATGCGCATCTAAAGAACAGTTCACAAGTACTCAAATGGTTAGGAGAAGTATATGTATATATATATATATTATTTTTTTTTTTAAGTAAAAGTATGCAGTGGGACTAATTTAATTTCTTTCCTAGGTGTCATTTTTCATATCATTTCGAAATCACACACTTCTTACAATTAGGTGCATTACCCTAATAAGCTTGTTCTTTGCTGGAATACATAGAAGGGTGGTGGCACCATCAATGCATTCTTCAATTGTGTTTGTCAGATTAAAGGTGTTGCAGTTACTACAATTATTGACGCCTACGCTAATACTGCTTTTTTTTGGTTTTTACTTGTTCTGTGTACCAGCGTTAGCTCCTTTCCTTGACACAGTCCACGCAGTATAGCAGCCTGAGGTCAAACTTTTGGCAGAATATAACATGTCCTGTGATGATGCAAGTATTAGTCATTGCCTAAATTTTGGTGGGTTTTTTGTGGCTTGCTTTGTTTTGGGGTTGTTTGCTGTTTTTTTTCTCCTGAACAGCACTTGCCACAAAGTCATGTAGTGATAGGACAAGGGGAAATGGCTTTAAGATGAAAGGGGGGCAGACTTAGATATTAGGAAGAAATTCTTTCCTATGAGGGTGGTGAGGTGCTGGCACAGGGTGCCCAGAGAAGCTGTGGCTGCCTCACCCCTGGCAGTGTTCAAGGCCAGGTTGGATGGGGCTTGGAGCAGCCTGCTCTAGTGGAAGGTGTCCCTGCCTGCGGCAGGGGGTTGGAACTGTGAATGAGCTTTAAGGTCCCTCCCAACCTAAAAAATTCTATAAATACACCTTAATGAATTCTGTGTGTCTGTAAAACTGGAATGTAGAATACTTAGTATTGTTCTGTGTGTCATTCTAAACTTAGCCTGTAAAAATGGAAGTTGGGCTCAACTTTCAGTGTCTAAACTTATCCCCTCCCCCTCCTTGCAGACTGAAAAATTCATTTTGAAACCCAGGCCTCATGTTCAATAAGGGCTGTCTTCCTTCAGTTTGTTGGGTTTTTTTTCCACTGCCATGGAAACCAAAAATGACCTTTTTAAGGTAGTGTGACAAGCAAAAAACCAAACAGGACTGGTTGTCACTGCCTGGGAGTGAAAGTCTTAAGCAGTTGACAGTGAAAGTGTGCAATATTACTTCTTGAATATTTATCCAAATTATTTGTTATCATATCAGTGCTTTTGCTACTTCCGATTACCTCTTTTTTTTTCAGTATTAGTGTTACTTTACTTCAGCTAGAAGAGAACATACAGGTGAATTATGTTAATCGGTTATGAAACTGAACTTGAAAAATCAAACCTTTTGCGTTGTGTGTCTTTATAAGCTATTGTAAATAAGATGGATGCCAATGTTCAGGAAAAGAAGTAATACTTGCTGTATGGACTTTTTGAATTCTCATGAACAGTACTGAAAGGAACTTTTACCATTCCCATGATGTTTTATCATCACACTTGCTCATTACAGCTGTCCTTGTCTCCTGGTCATTCTTTTTGGAATTGGTTAAAGGCTTGCAGAAAGACTGTCTGTCTGGGAGAAAACTGGCCTTGCTTTTTAAGAAATGCAACTACATCAAGGATCACATTTGTCAGACTGCATATATAGTGCACCAGCCACTTCCATTGTGGGAATACATAGCTCCTAGTGACATCTGGTTCACAACACTGCTCTTTCCAGATTTTAATATTTAAAAATTTGTCTTAAATATGCTTGTATCTTACCAACTAAGGGTGTACTGTATCTGAAGTCCTGATCTTGCTAGGCTGTGCAGAACCTGGTGGCGAAGGTACACCATGTAGATGCTCATGTACCCAAGAGTCAGGCCACTGAGGAACACCAGAACAACCATCAGGTAGATAGCTTCCAAGATTGAATTGGTTCAGATAGATTTAGGTTGCCAACATAAGGGGGAATTACTTTTAGCCGGGTGGGTGCATGACACCTCAGGCCACCAAGGCAGAGATGCAGCATACAGATGGGCTTGTGACTGAGGGGTGGACTTGACAATGGACACTATTGCCCAGGTTATTCAGGAGTGTGAAACATGTGCTGCAATTAAGCAAGCCAAGCGGTTAAAGCCTCTCTGGAATGGAGGACGATGGCTGAAGTACAAATATGGGCAGGCCTGGCAGACTGATTATATCACACTCCCACCAACCCACCAAGGCAAGCGCCATCTGCTTACCGTGGTGGAAGCAACCGCCGGATGACTGGAAACATACGCTGTGCCTCACATCACTGTCTGGAACACTATCCTGGGCCTTGAGAGACAGATCTTGTGGCGACACGGCACCCCAGGGAGAACTGAGTCAGACAATGGGACTCATTTCAGGGACAGCCTTATAGACACTTGGGCCAAAGAGCATGCCATTGAGTGGGTATATCACATCCCCTACCATGCACCAGCCTCTGGGAAAACTGAATGGTACAATAGGCTGTTAAAAACTACACTGAGAGCAATGGGTGGTGGGACTTTCAAACATTGGGAGATACATTTACCAAAAGCCACCTGGTTGGTCAACACCAGAGGATCTGCCAACAGGAATGGTCCAGCCCAGTCAGAACTTTTACATGCTGTAGAAGGAGATAAAGTTCCTGTGGTGCACATAAAGAATTTGCTGAGGAAGACAGCCTGGGTTATTCCTGCTTCGGGTAAAGGCAAACCCACTTGTGGGACTGCTTTTGCTCAGGGACCCGGATATACTTGGTGGGTAACATGGTGTCCTGGGTTCAGCTGTAGCAACCAATTTTCTCCTTAGTAGCTGGTGCAGTGCTGTGATTTTGACCGTAGTCCGAGAACAACGCTGATAAACACACCGATGTTTGTAGTTGTTGCTAACTAATGTTTACCCCAATCAAGGACTTTTCAGTCTCATGCTCTTCCAGGGAGGAGGAGCATAAGAAGTCAGGAGGGAGCAGAGTCAGGACACCTGACCCAATCTAGCCAAAGGGGTATTCCATACCACAGCACTTCATGCCCAGTATATAAACTGGAGAGAGTTACCCGGAAGGCCCAGATCACTGCTCGGGTCGAACTGGGTATCAGTCAACGGGTGGTGAGCAACTGTGTTGTGCATCCCTTGTATTTATCCCCACACACACCTTTCCACTTTTAGTTTTATGTCCTCTCCCCTTGTTATTTCCCTTATTATCATTATTGACAGTAGTAGTAGTTTTGTATTATACCTTAGTTACTGGACTATTCTTATCTCAACCTGTGGGATTTACATTCTTTTAATTTTCCTCCCCATCCGTCTGGGAGCAGAGGGGACAAAGCGGGGGGAGTGAGCGAGCAGCTGCATTGTTTTGAGTCACCGGCTGGGCTTAAACCACGACATAATCCGTAACACTCTATATAATTATGTGTGCATAGTTTCTCTGTTAGGTCTTCGAAAAAACACACTCCCCATCTTATTTCCTAGACTATGCACTCTTTTAACAGCAGCAGATTATTATTCTTCTAAGTTATAACACCTATTATGCATTTGTTCTACATATAGCACAAAGCTTCAGAAGCGTGCCTGGCAGCGGCTGCCAAGACCAGGACCTGCACCTCTGATAGCGCGCTGTCTGCTGTCCTCCCCAGCTCAGCCACCTCACCCAGCCCCGCGGCATGCACGTGAGCAGCAATGGCACCAGACCCCTCACCGACACCACCACCGCAATACATGTACCGCATGGGGTACAATAACCGCAAAGAGAGCAACGGAACACCCTTGCTCGGGCAGCAAGGCGTGATACCGGGCGATGAGCGTCTAACAGCCCCACGTACACACGCAGTGACAACAGGAAAGCCTACAGATAGGCTTGCCCACCCCATCAGCACGCACCTGGGCATCCGCTACCCCCTCCACGAGGAGTCACTGCCCGGCCGGGCTCGGGGGCTGCACGAGAGGCTGCCCCGCCGACAGGCATCAGCAGGGCCCGTTGACGCAGCGCACGGGCGGGCCGGGCAGCGGGCCGGGCAGCGGCCCGGCATACGTGGCCCCTGCCTGCCCCCGCCGGCGGCGAGCGGCGTCCTACGGGCCCGATCCAGATACCCCGCGACACCCGCCGTTCCTGTGGCCACGCCCCACTGCCGCAACCCAGCGGCCATCCCGTGCTGGGAGGGCCTCAGCTCGCACCTCTTCAAGAGGCCTGGCCAGGTTCAAGCCTGGCGCTGGCAGTTGCTCGGCACCCCCTCGCCTGCTTGGCGCTGCGGCCGCTCACCCCATGACTCCTTGGCTGTAGTTCCTCTTCTTCCAAGGGGTACCGATGTAGAACGACTCGGCCAGGCCAGCCTGGGCCCGGGCGGCCGGCTCATTTCCTAGGGCGAGGGCCCGGCCCTGCCCAGGAGGCCTCAGCAGGAGGCTGTAGTTAAGACCGAAGGTGCTGGCCTTGTTGTCGCGCTTCCTCTTGTTGCTGGCGGCCGTGGCGGCAGACGGCTCGACCTGTGCGGGCCGGGCCCAGGCAGCAGCCCCCAGGGGCGGCGAGGTCTGGTGGTGGTTGCGGTTCTGCTGGTTGTTGGCGCTCTCGAGCGGCAGGAAGTCAGGCTGGGGACCAGCGCGGTACATGCTGGGCGGGGAGACCGGGCCGGCCCCAGCGGGGGCGCTCTGCTGCTGCTGCTGCTGCTGCTGCTGCTGCTGCTGCTGCTGCTGCTGCTGCTGCTGCTCCTGCTCCTGCTCCTGCTCCTGATGGAAGTAGAGATTGCGGACCCCTTGCGTAGTTTCCCAGATCTGCATCCACAGGCGATTCGAGGGACCAAGCTGCTCTGGCTGGAACCAGGCTATCCGAGGATCCATCAAACGGGGACCCACCCCGGCTACCTTCACTCACCGCCAGCCACCGACACTGAGACCCTGTCACGGGGTCCCACCGCTAATGGCGGCTCTTATGGAAGGGCAGCTCCGCGCCTGCCTGCCTGCCCGCTGCCGTCGCTCCACAGCTCCCGCCCCTCCTGGCGAGCGCGGCGAGGCGGGGCCCGGCTGGGCCGTCGGCACACGGGCCGCGCGCAGGCAAGGGGGCGGTGGCTGGGCCCGGGCGGAGCCCCAGGCAGGCCCCGGCTCTGCCCCGGCCCGGCACCTGCCGGGCGGGACTGGGCGGCTCTCGGGCCACAGCGGCGGCATCTCTTCCGGTGGAATCGTCCTAGTTCGATGGATGGACCATCCGAGAGATAAAGAATTGGCTGGCTGGCTGCACGCAGATAATTGTGGTTAACGGTCCAACTGGAAACGGGTAATAAGTGGTGTCCCTCATGGGTCGGTGGTCAACATTTTTGTCTGCAACATGGACAGCGGGATTGATGCACCCTCAGCAAGTTTGCTGATAACACTAAGCTGTGTGGTTTGGTTGATGTGCTGGAGGGAAGGGGATGCCATCCAGAGAGACCATGACACACTTGAGAAGTGGGCCAATGCCAACCTCATGTGAAGTTCAGCAATGGAAAGCGTAAGGTCCTACACCTGGGTCGGGGCAATCCCAGACACAGCTACAGGTTGGGCAGAGAAGAGATTCAGAGCAGCCCTGCAGAGAAGGATTTGGAGGTGTAGGTCGATGAGAAACTGAATGTGAGCTGGCTTCAGTGTGCCATCTCAAAGCCCAGAAAGCCAACCGTATCCTGGGCTGCATCAAAAGAAGTGTGACCAGCAGGTCAAAGGAGGTGATTCTGCCCCTCTGCTCTGCTCTCGTGAGACCCCACTTGGAGTACTGTGTGCAGTTCTGGTGTCCTCCACATAAGAAGGACATGGAGCTGTTGGAGCAAGTCCAGAGGAGGGCCACAAGGATTATCAGGGGGCTGGATCATCTCCCATATGAAGACAGGCTGAGAAAGTTGGGGCTGTTCAGCCTGGAGAAGGGAAGGCTGCATGGAGACCTCATAGCAGCCTTCCAGTATCTGAAGGGGGCTACAAGGATGCTGGAGAGGGACTCCTCATCAGAGACTGTAGTGATAGGACAAGGGGTAACGGGTTAAAACTTAAACAGGGGAAGTTCAGGTTGGATATAAGGAAGAAGTTCTTTACTGTGAGAGTGGTGAGGCACTGGAACAGGTTGCCCAAAGAAGTGGTAAATGCTCCGTCCCTGACAGTGTTCAAGACCAGGTTGGACAGAGCCTTGGGTGACATGGTCTAGGGTGAGGCAGGGGGGTTTTGAGATGAAGAAAGAACTCTTGACAAGATTAAGGATAGCCCATTGTAAATAGAATGTAACTAAGAGACTTGGACTCCAGGTGGACTTTGTAACAATGATAAGGAAGAAAGCTTTTCAGTTAATTTTAAAGGAGACCAGTTAGAACCAACTAAGGAGCTGGCAAACAGACAACGAGACCGTCCAGCTCCAAAGTTCACCCAAAGGATGAAGTGATGAAGAAGATGATGAAGAAACGACCACCAGGGGTCCCAAAGAGCACTACCACATTATTGTGCACATGCAGGAAGAATTTTCTAGAAGTATGACGTAATGTATCTGTAGCTTTATGAATATGCATATAATGTAATTAATATGTTTAGTGACAATATAATCACAGCCTGTTTGGTGCTTGAGTGAGACACGCTAGGAGGAGCTATCCCCCGTATCTCCCAGCGCCACAATAAAGAATACCTGCTTGTCAACTTCAACTTTGTTGGCGAGTTCCTGGAGTTTTTTTCTCCAAATCAATCTGGCGACCCAGGTGGGACCCCCTCGCTCGGCTGCAGGAACCATTGAGGGTAAGGCTCCCTAGGGCCCTCAGGAGTTTTTCCCAGAGGGACCCCTCGACTCATTTGGATCACTGTGGGAGCAGACAAGGGCCATCTTCTATAAGGTATTCTTTATGAATTAAGTTATTTGGGTGTAATGGTATTAAAGAGCTCTTCTGGGAGGTTAGCTGTGCTGGGGGTACTGTATGTTAGAGTACACTATGAGCTAACCTGGGTTAGCTGTGGTGGGGGTGCTCTGTCATAGAGTGCCCTATGAGCTAACCCTAGCTGTGGTGGGGATATTCTGTAATAGAGTACCACTGTATAAACTGGGTGCAGTTACCCGGAAGGCCCAGATCGCTGCTCAGGTCGGGCTGGGTATCAGTTGGCAGGTGGTGAGCAATAGTATTCTCTCACCTTGTTATTTCCCTTATCATTATTATTATTGGTGGTAGTAGTAGTGGTTTTGTATTATACCTTAGTTTGGACTGTTCTTATCTAAACCCATGGAGTTACATTCTTTTGATTCTGCTCCCCATCCCTCCAGGAGTGGGGGAGGACGAAGTGGGGGAGTGAGCGAGCGGTTGCGTGGTTCTGAGTTACCGTCTGGGCTTAAACCATGGTGTCGTGGTTTAAACCCAGTCAGGTAATTCGTTCGCTCACTTCCCCCCCTTTCTTGCCCTCCCCCTGCTCCCGGAGGGACAGAGAGGAGAATCGAAAAGAATGCAACTCCCACGGGTTGAGATAAGAACAGTTTAGTAACTAAGGTATAACACAAATCACTACTGCTACCACCAATGATAATAATGGAAAAGGAAATAACAAGGGAAGAGAATACAACACCTCAGCACCAGCCGACCGATAACTCGCCCCCCTCAGCCCGACCAAGCACCGACCTATACCTCCTCCAACCCCGCAGTCCCCAAGCCCCTTCCAGGTAACTCCCAGTTACATCCTGGGCATGACGTGCTGTGGTATGGAATACCTCTTTGGTCAGTTTGGGTCAGGTGTCCTGTCTCTGCTTCCTCCCAACTTCCCCTCCTCCCTGGCAGAGCATGAGGCTCACAAAATCCTTGGCCAAACCAAAACATCCTTGTTATCAGCTCTGTTCCCGAGCTGAAAGTCAAAACACTGCACTACATTAGCTACCAAGAAGGAGAAAAAATGACTGCTACTGCTGAACCCAGGACATTATCCACCCCTTATTCCATACCATTCACGTCATGCTCAGATCCCACATTTTCAATATACCATCACTCTTATCTTAGTGCATGGACCAGTCCCTATAAAGCTGCTGAGTCCATCTGGTCCATGATGTCAGTCTCCATCTCTTGTACCAGTCAGAGCAGGAGAGAATGTGTGCAGTGTTCACACTTGTGAATAATCTGGGCAATAGTGTCCATTGCTAAGTCCACCCCTCGATCATGAGTCCATCTCTATGTTGCATCTCTGCTCTGATGGCCTGAAATGCTATGGGCCCACCAGGCTTAAAATAATTCACTGTCCCCTTCAGCAGTTTCTGCAGCTTGTTGCTGGGGACTCCATAAAGCTGCCTTCCATCTCTGATGCTTCCAAAGCACTGGAGGGGCCCAGTGGACTAGATACTTGCCCATACTGTCCCACACACCCTGCCACTCATGACTGTCCAGCCTTGGGGAAAACCTCTTGGTCCCCCTATATTGTCGTCTAACCCCAGACAAGACCCAAACCTGACTCTGCTTAACTTTTGAGATCAGACAAAATGGTGGTGGGGAGAACACAGTCTGTGTGTGTGCCAACATGCTGATCCCCATCACAATCAGCAGGCAGGTCCCAAGGATACCCAAAGGCCATTCAAAACCTTCAGAACTCTCAAACGATGCTGCTGTACTTGTCACTGGGGCTGGTGTAGCTGCTGTGCTTGCCGGCTCTCCCACCACCAGCTTCTCTTTTCCTGAGTCCAGATCTTCCTCCTCTGCCTTGCTGGGAAATGCTGCGTGGTCTCCTGCATCGTCCTGGGGCTCGGCAGGCGGCTTCCGGGGCATGCTCTCGGCCGTCGCGGAGCTGGGCTCCTCCGCGGGGCTCGGCTCTTCCGCGGGGCTCGGCTCGGCCGCGGGGCTCGGCTCCTCCGCCGCCTTATCCCGCTGCTCGGCAGCCGCCTCCTTCCTCTCCTCGACCGCCCCGACCTCCTCCACCGGCAGCCGTCCCCTCGCGGCCTCCGGCCCCGCTCCCGCCGCCGCTCGGTCCCCGGGGCCGCTCTCCCGGGCCGGTTCGGCTGCCGCCGGCTCCCGGGGCCGCTCCCCCTCAGCTCCCCGCAGCCTCACGAAGATGGAGAGTAGGGTGAGGACCAGGCCGGTGAAGAGCAGCCGGACGGCCAGGTACAAGTCCACGGCCACGTCCGTCCCGCCCTGCTGCTGGGGCCCGCCCGTATTACAAGCCATTGCCATAAAGCACAGTGAGACAAGAACCTTAGCCCAGGCCCCACACTTGATAAACACTAACACAGCAAATACCGGCTCTAAGTAAGTTACAACATTCTGAAGCTGTGAGATCAACAAGAACAACTCTGAGAGCCAATAAATCAGCATTGTGACGAGTGACTATTAATCCAGTAAAATCTGTCGTTATCTCAACCCTTCGTGCCCCACGTTGGGCGCCAAAAAGAACTGTCGTGGTTTAAACCCAGTCAGGTAATTCGTTCGCTCACTTCCCCCCCTTTCTTGCCCTCCCCCTGCTCCCGGAGGGACAGAGAGGAGAATCGAAAAGAATGCAACTCAGGTTGGATATAAGGAAGAAGTTCTTTACTGTGAGAGTGTAGTTTCCATAACACAGGACTCTCTGCAAATGATCTGTCATATTTGAAAATTTCCATGGAAATGTAAATGTGTCTGTCTCCTCCCCCCCCCCCCCCCCCCCAAGCAGCTATTGGCTTTATGTGAAGTTGGTATTCACAGCAGCAATGCCAGTGTTAGAGTGAATCCTTTGAATTTCTGGCAGCATCCTGACAAAAGGACAAGACACAACTGAGACGCTAAAAGTGAAAAAGCAAAATTGGCATTGCAAGCCTAAACCAGTGTCCTGGGTTCAGCTACAGCAGTAATTTTTCTCCTTCTTAGTAGCTGGGGTTCAGTGCTGTGGTTTTGACTTTCAGCCTGGGAACAACGGTGATAATACCGATGTTTTTAGTTGTTGCTAAGTAATTGTCGTGGTTTAAACCCAGTCAGGCAACTCGTTCACTCACTCCCCCCCCCCTTCTTGCCCTCCCCCTACTCCCAGAGGGACGGAGAGGAGAATCGAAAAAATGCAACTCCCACGGGTTGAGATAATAACAGTTTAGTAACTAAGGTATAACACAAA